TTTTTTTTTTTTTTTTTTTTTCAATACGTTTGATGTGTCAGGGCCGGTGCCTTGTCCCATTCATCGTACGGCCCATTGATCAGAAATACAAAAAAGCAGTTGGGGTAAGAAGATAAAGGAAGCAGACCAGGATAAAAGGAAAAAAGCGACAGTGATGCAAACAGGTAGATGGAGATGGAGATGGAGAAGGAAAATGCTTCCCCCAAAACAATTCACAGAGCGCCCTTCTCTTGCGTGAAATCCCACAGCATCTTGATCAGGGTGTCTGGTAGGGTATAAAGATCGACATGGAACTCTCCCTCTGTAGGAATCGATTAGTTCTTTTGAATCTTCCGTTCTTCTTTTTCGGAATGTGTAGCGTGGTGCCCGTGGGGAACTTACGTTCGACGTCATTCTTGGTGTACGAGTCTGGGGCTTTGTTGTCGTGTACCATCTGCACCACTTGGAGAAGATCATCTTCTCCGAGTCGTTGGAGGCCGTCGGCTAACTTGTCCATATCCACCTGCGAAAACGATTTCATGTTAGGTAGTGCTCTTGGCTTTTGCTATGTATGAAGGTAGTAGGGGCCTTACACTCTTCTCTGTTCGTTTCTTCTTCTTTGATCCTTCTTCGCTAGCTGCGGAACGCTTAGATTTCATACCGTTCTCGTCTCCGGGAATGGGGCCAGATTCACGAAGGGTTGCCAATAAGGCAGGCTTGGGGTTTTTAAATGTCTGGCATCACGTATGAGCGGTTTTCTTTGAGCGGATGGAGGGACAGGGACGAAAACGACGGAGACACTTACGATGACGTGCTTGGACTCGTAGCGTGTCTGTGCAAAGTTGAGGTCGTGTGTCAAGTAATGATCCTTGTCGGCGTGAAGGGTGATTTGCATATCGAATTCACCCCATCCTTCTTCTGAAATCCTGAATGGGGGGTTCTTGAAGGCTGTTGTCATTTTTGCGCGTTAGTGATATTTCCTCAACATTGCCGAGGGTTTCCGGCAATAACGGTTTCTTAGATAGTTTCAAGCCCGGGGTGTGCGGCTCAATTTGTAAAGAGGAAATATACACCAAGTGTTGGAAAGGTGATTAGAAATAACGTACTTTGAATGGACCGATCCCCGAAACTAGGATGAAGTGTATACGTCACCTTGTCGAAGACGTTGGCCGGCACTTGCTCTCCGTGGTCATTGACCAGGTAAATCTCAATAGACCACGCCCGGAGGGGGAACCCTTCAACACCCGAATCTTTGTTTCTATCGAAGCGGAGACGCGACCAGTCAGCAAAAGCCACAGCTAAATAAAGAAAGCCCTGTTGTCGTCCCCGTAGCTTATAGTCATAGCGACATGCGGAAAAGCAAAGCAACCGCGCCTTGGTTGCTTTGCAATCGCGACAACAAAAGTCAAGGTAACCAGTAAGTTTAGGAAAGTGTGACAGCGATGGGCGCGTAGGGTGTGCTGATGAGGATGGAATGATTTCATTTTATTGGGAGGGAGATCGGCGTGCAGGATTCAACATACACAACATGCTGTTCTGTGACCAGCCGGACATTCCTCTTGACCTAAATGGGGAGAAAGACAGCGTTAGTCGAATGCGACAGCAAGCTGATAAACACATCTGCCAATTGGAGAAGACGGCGATGCGATGAATCGAAACAATCGGGAACTCACGTCGGGCATTTTGCCAGCGAACTTCGGTTAAGCTCACTGGGAGGGGAGTAGAATAAGTGGAAGGTACTCGGTGAATGATGAGTTCGAGCTATCGAGCTCGGGGATTGCGCGAATGAAAGGTGAGGCGAGGTCGAATAGGACGCTTGTCGGTGAGAATCTACTAGGACTCCGATTGGGTGGAACCCTCAGAGATCGCGCGATGACCGCGTAGGGGTGTACCTGAAGAGAGAGTTGTGGGATGAAAGGTATTGAGGAGGGAAGAGTTCGGAGGGAGAGTGAAGAAGGTCGGCAAGGAAGAGGGGGGCGGATGAAGCGATCCGACTGACTTGACTTTCAGGCATTCACGACTTAGACGTTCACTGGTGGTCGTGGTCAACCTTTGCCGCTAGGGACCCTAAACCATCCAACATCATGAAATACCAGAGCTCGATACGCCCGTTCTTTCGAAGAAAAATTATGTGACTGATGACTCTACCCTACCCTTCCCTTCACTTTTAAGGCCTATCGTCACCGCATATATGAGCTTATGTACATAACATATACCAACGATGAAGTCTTGCAACAACGACGAGAACTTTACGCGTGACACAGGAGATCTATATTTGATTTTATGAGATTCAATACATAACGGGGTCATCGTGCATTTCAAACATATATTTGCAGGGGTCCGGGGTCTACTAATCTACTGCCATATCAACATACATTCAACATCATCTGGTGAGGTTGAATGTGTGCCGGAAGCTGGCTCGCGATCTTGTCGCGACCGGTGTCAGTGAACCGTTCTCGTCGCGTAGTCGTCGGGGGATGGGGCTGGAGGATGTGACAATATCGGAAAGGATGTGATAGGGAAGGGGATACAGATTGGTTAACGCTGTGTTGTCCACCGGCGAGTCTTATATTCACTCGTAGTGTTTTGAAACAATCAAAAGGGTAATTAATGATAGTTCATCAAGTAAAACTCATTTCAGTCCACTCGGGGGCAAAAGTTTTACTGGTCGGCGAGGAGTTTCTCGTTCTCCTGCTGAGCCTTTTCGAAAGCCTCCTTGAACAGGTTGGCATCTAAAGCTCAGTTAGCAAAGCCATAACCGAAAACACATCTCGTCACGGATATCAACTTACTCTCACTGTTGGCGAAACGAATAGCCAGGGTCTGCGCCTCGGGCTCACCCTCACTGACATCGGCAGTGGCGTTCCAAACCCAGCTGCGATCACTGCCAACGTTGGGGCTCAACTTCATTGCAGGGACAACTAGATAGCCCATCAGTAAGCCGGGTGAAGAAAAGAACATGGTCCATATGCGCCAAACTTACTGTAGTGGTTGGCGCAGACCTTCAAAGTCTTGTCTCTGCGCATCACCAGGCGAGTCTTCTGGTTCTCCTTGTGCTTGAGCAGTCTAACATCGCCAGTACCACGCTCTTTCCATTCCTTGCTCTCAGCGTCGAATCGGAACAGCTTAGCCCGCATCTTGAAGGTCTGCTCCTCAAGTTCCTCGTTGGTCTTGGTTTCCACCTTCTCGGTCAGGCGGATAACAGGCTCGAAGTGAACGTCAGGGGACTCAGGTGCTTCATCCTATATATTAATGAATCGTTAGCCACCTGTACTGGGGCAAACCGAACTCGTAGCACGATTGACTCATAAGAGCCAAAAACTTTGGTGCAGGAAAGTGACGATGACGTAGAACGCAAGTTATGTTGAGCAAAGGAGCAGTCTAGCGAGCCAAAGGAAACAGGTACTCACGTCTTCCTCAGTTTTCTGAGCCTTGGAAGAGCCAGATGGCTCATCATTGTTATCCTCAGGTTCTTCCTTCTTTTCCTTCTTGGGACCACCGCCGAACATAGCGAAAACGCTGTCGGTTGTCTTGGTAGCCGCCTCCTTAGCTGTGTCAACTACGGCCTCAGTTGTAGACTTTTCCTCCTCAGTCTTGGGAGCTTCGGTAGAGGTGGTGGTCTCCTCGGGCTTCTCAGCCGCCTCAGGAGCGCTGGTAGTGGGGTCAGGCTTGGTCTCAGGGACGTCGGACATGATGACGAGATGGGGATGAAGTTCTGCTAAGTTTATAAGTTCCAGTGATTTCGGGCTTTAGTGGGAGCGCAAGCACGTACCTATTGTTTTGAGATGGAAGAAGTTTTAGGGAGATGGTTATAGAGAGGAGAAGAAAATATGGTCGGCTGTTTTTGTTGTAAAAGGTGGGGGGTAGTTCATTGCCTCCGACCTAAGGCCGCTAGTGCCACCGCCTTGAGAGCCTTATATTCTGCGGGCCACCTTGGGGAAATATCACTAAATCATAATAGAAAGCAGTCAAAACGGGCATTAAGAGATTTCTAGGCGAAGAAAGAGTGGTAAAATCAAAAGAGGGTTTTAGCATTTCACATGGTATTCATTACTACATAGCAACTGTCCCGAAACACTAACATGGTTCCGGGCCTTTTAATAAATAAATGGAAGCAAAAATATCGTGACCCTTTTCGCCTAGGAACAAGACAAACCATCCCTCCCCCAATAGCAGGGGGGAAAAGAAGAAGACGGATAAGGAGATGTAGGAGGGAAGAGAAAAACACCGAAGAAGAATAGGCACCGCAGGCACGTACGAAAAGCAAATACAAAGTTCGAAGTCGTAAAAATAGACTAAGCAAGGGTACAAGCCCGCAGCTTTTCTCACAAACATTCAGAGTGTTGGCACTTTCGTTTCATCAAGCGTTTAGCTCTTCTCTGGGCCGTGTCTAGCGTATGGATCTTCCTTGCATTTCGAATATGGTCCTTCACAGATTTGAGTTCAAACCCATATGCTTGATTGCTAATTCGATGCCATGTACCACTGATAATCTCCTGCGTCTCTTGGTTTACTTTGATGGTCTTTTCCTGCAGGACTGATGATACGGCGAGGAATGGCTGGACAGCAGTACGTCTGACGACTTCAGAAAGCTGCTTGGACATCGAGACAACCACGTCTTTTGTCTCAGAAAGCTGCCCAGTGCCATGACGGAGAACGTTTGCTTCTCGGCGTAAGATATGGGTTTTTTTTACAACATCCCCCATAATGACTTGCAAATCAGTGCAAAGTCGACTGTACACTTCTGATAATCCAACTTGCGCAGTGTTGAAATCCCCCATAAACTGGGACGAGATTACATGTGCTGCCCGCCTCCAATTTGCGATCTTTAGCCACGGGGTTCCAAAGTCCACCGATGTGGTTTGGCGGAGAGGAGGTCTTGAAGCCATAGTGACTGTGACGTTCACAATTCCATACGCATCCACTCGATCAAGTTTAAGTGTGTATACTCCATCAAACAAGCGAGAGAGCTCATATTCGAGCGGTTTGGCTCCCCGGCTCACTTGGACATCAAATCTTGGATATTTTTTCCCAGTCAAAGTTTTATTGGGTGGCTTTATCACAAGGTGGCAATCACCAACAGTCTGAATCTCAAAGCCTTCAAACTCCTGCTTCTTAGGAGGGGACAATAGTCCGCCCATCATGTTGTCCAACTGGGAATGACCCTGGTGATGGTTCCCCAAAACTTGAACATCGGTCACCGATGAAGACAGTGTAGAGAGTGAAGTTTGTTTTAAATCATTTGCTGTCATAATACTGGTAGAAGTACGGCTCGGGGCATTGGATACAGTATTGTAAATAACCGATTGAGGAATTTTTTGGGGGAATAGAATTGAAGTAGCACGCAAAGCTGAGTGTGCTAGAATGGTAGCTACGCTTAAGAGAACGGTGAGAGTGATTAAACGCAGCACAGGCGTCAACTCACGGTTGTCATTCAGGAAAGGGATGAAGGGTATTTTTGTTGTCCACTTCTCAACAAAGAAGAGTGGCTTCCTCTGGAAGTTGCCGGTATTCTCCAGGGCGATGTTTTCAGACTTTTTAGTATAGATGCTCATCAAAGAGGCAAGATTCCTATTGAGCTGCCCGGGCGTGATACTCTCAAAAGTCGCTAGATCAATAGGATACCTTCTTAGGACTGTGACTTTCCCAGTCAGCGGATGACGAGACTCCAGGCACATGTGGAGGCTATGGTGGTTCAGAGGAATTACTTCGGCCAGATCCCAGAGCGGCTTCTCGGATATAACCATAGCCGGAATGCCATGCCTTTCCATGAAAATGCGAGCCAGGTTTTGGGTCTCCATCACAGTTGCAGAGTCTCTGCTGGATAAGAAAAGAATCGCTACATCAGGAAGCGTCCATTCAGTTGGGGATGAGACGCAATACTCGCCCCCTGTCCAGGAAGATGTGCATGATGGCCGATTTTTGAAATCCAATCTAATGGTGTTGGGCTTATCATTTTGACAGCCAACAGAAGCTCCAGGGCACTCGTCAACAATAAGTTGGACATGGATTGGAAGGAGCTCAGCGAAATTAGGGACTGCGCCTGTCCCGAACGATGTTGGTACAACGTGATATCTAGAGGATTCTGTGGAACTGCTTTCAAAGTCACTACAGGTGCTCGACACAAGGACATCTCCAATTTTGTCGAGAATGATGTTTCGAAACTCAGGATCTCCGATATAAAGCACACGGAACGGCTTGTCAGTGTCAAGGCTCTTCTTCGTCATGGTTTGTTGAACGGTGGCTGTAAGAATAGAGTCCTGCAGGTTGATAGAAAACTGACTCTTCAGCTCGTCGGCCTCGGTACCTTTAAACATACGGATAGTGTGTTTCAGTTCCACTTGTTCAACTTCAGGCCATTTTTCAGGCTCGGTAAACTCTATCGACTCGGTTGATTGACGAAAAGCAGTCTTCGTGGTTATGTTACTGTCACCGATAGAGCATCTGACCTGAGGGAAAAGAGCGGGTAGTTCCTGAGATTCAGAAACGTTGCTTTTCGAGTCATAATCGTCTTCTTCGTTCCCATAAACCTCGCTGCCGCTATACTGCTCGTCAAGGCTTGCAACGTCATCCGGACCGGCTTGGTCAATTAGAGACCCAACGTCGGTTTGTTCAGAGCGGCTACCATCCTCAGAATGAACGTCGGAAGCGCTCAGTGTTGCCCAGCTTTCGCTCAGTGGCCTGGGCGTGTAGTCCGCGAGATGACTTGACGTCATACTGATAGGCCTCGAGCGGGACAACCACTCTTCAACTGAGCCACTCAGAGGAGGAAAAGTTGGGTACCGCAGATGTGAAGAGGATGAGGTGAGGGATGGGCGTCTGGAGTGAGGCCTTGGAGAGTCAGCCATGTCGTCAGTGTGGAAGTAGCATGGGGCAAAAGTCAGAGTAAGCCAGGTCCAAAGACGCGGAGATTCGGTCGAGTACAATAGACGTAGGCTAAGCCAAAGAGCAAATAAAACAAAGATCAGCGGGAGGATACGTTATCTGTCGAGAGGGGAGCTTTTGCTCTGTCCTTTTTAACGGCAGAGGGCTGTTTTCTTGTGGATATCCCTCGATAAGCTCAGCCTAAAAAGCAGATGCCCGATGACGAGGCGGACGCTGTGGGGTGAGGGAGGGTCCCGGGCCCGAGCGGAGTGGTATATTAGACGCTTCTAAACCCGTGACCAAACTGATGATGAAGAGAATCTGCTCGATATCGAGTCTATAAAGATCTCAGCATGGTAAGACTCAGACTATAGCTAGTGGCGTTGTTAAAGGTTGAAGATGACCGAGAGAGAAGATGTTAAGAGAATAGAGTTGGAGATGGTGACTGCCACGCGCGGGGCACATGACAGGGACAATTGTGGTGTGCTTACTATGACTACTAGGCACGGAATTCACCTGTCACGGCCCGAAGCAGGATTAACTGAACAGGAAGGAATAAAAAAAGCTGCGAATCTATGGATATTAATTAGGTGGCCTGCTTGTCCCCTTATTGCCTGGATCTCTCGAGTACTACTAGTACTCTATCATATGCACTTCTTCTAGAATCGAACTGATAAGGCATCTCTTTATCTCCTATCAGGCACCCACTAACCTGAAGGAGCCTAGCTGATGCAGCTAGTACTCATTGCCCGGTCACGGTCATTAGTACTAATACTAGTATAGTATTTCTCTCCAGCCTTGAGGAAAGATGTAAAACCCTTTACATACAAGGAGAAATCTCATACTCTATGAATAAGCCATGCTGGGAGTCGTTTATTTGCGTTCTTCGGGGCTATGCATCTGAAATGACCTAGTTTCACCAGGATTTCAGAACAAGGAAAGGAAAAGAAAAGAAAGAAGATATGTACAATTCATGACATAACGGCGAGGAAGGGTAGGAAATAAAGGTGAGATATAGAACAGGGTAAGGCAGTGCGTCAGGACATCGGGCATAGATTAGTGGTCTCTGCAAGGATAAGCGGGCCAAGAAGGGTTTAACCGCCGCAAGTAGTTCCATCCTCATCGGTCCGCTGCAACTTAATGTCGTACCCGATGACAGCCAGTTTCCTGAGGTGAATGGACCATATAGTAATATGCCAAAGAGAATTGCGGAGCAGGAGGCATAATCGAAACCAGGCTAGCGGGCATCGAGCCTTTGTCAGAGACCGTGAGGAACAGAGGCGTGGAATACTCAACGTAGCCAAGAGCTACGTAGAGAGAACGGTCCTGCCTGTGGAGAGACCGGACATAGATTCCGGTAGAGGTTCTCGGGGACTATCTTGAAGCTGACGGCCGGACAGTAACCGTCTTTTTCCAGAAGAAAGTCTCTCTGTTTTAACAAAACGCGGCAATCCAAATGAAAACATACAAAGCACGCTAGATGAATTTGTGAATATTGATGAGAATGATCACCCCATTTTCCATGAAAGAAGCTGTCAGATCCGTTGAACGCCGCCCAGAACCCCACAGCCAACATAAGATGACGGCTCAAGCAACAATAACTCCAACGGCAACCCGAGTAATGCTCATAGTTGAACAAAAAAGGCATGGAAACGAGGAGGCGATGATTATACAGCGGACAAAGCATGAAGTTGTCCGAATCTAGGGAGAAGCCCAACCTCCCGCAACTTCTACCCACTCGGCAAGACAGCTGCCTTGTTTACCCTCAACATCCACGATATCTGTGTCACACCTGCACCTGCAGCCGACACCGTTCTCTTTGACCGGGTCGGGATTTGCCCAGTACTCGTCCTCTTCGAACCGCGCTTTCTCATCTTCCGTGGTCATTTCAAGCCACGGGATTCGTGGGAGTTGTCGGGCGGGAGCATTAGCGGGGCAATGTTGGATGGTCGTATGGCGGTAGCCAAAATCGCGGAAATAGTGGATGTCGCTGGGCGACAGAAGAACGCCTGCGGCTAGTGAGTGGATAGGCGCATCACCCCACTGTGATTACGTTGTTAGCCTGCAGGGAAATCAGGTACTGGGGAAATCTCGAATACGTACTCTTTCCATCCAGAAACCACCGCTCCTATCCATCATTTCAAAGAACTCTTCGTATTCCTTACTGCGGAACCAGTCCAAGCGTGCGATTTCAAAGTTACTCCAGAAATGGCACATGTTATACTTTTCGCCTTCCATGGCCTCAGGGTCGACATCGGGAACAGTGTTCTCTCCAGGCTCATTTTGCAGGATTTCCTCAGGGAGCTTATCCTGTTTTCCTTCCTCGGGCTTGGGCTCCTCCTCAGGTGGCCTTTCGAGGAACATCTCCCAAAGTCCCTTTGACTCGAGATTGTGCTTCCGCTTATAGGCCGAGGCATAGCGGAAGATGTTGGGGACAGTCTCACGAAGTTCTTTAACGGCAATCGTAAATCCATAGGTTTTATTTGCTTCAGCCATTTTGACGAAAGGGTCGCTATATACGTGTAAGTGATGGATGCTCAATCTCAGTACGAACGGTGCCAAGGGTTGATCTCACTAGGTTATGTCACAGAAGTAACTGATCTCTGGCTCCAGACGCCAGTACCATTCGTACTTCATGAGGAGGGGATGTTTGTAGAAGAAGCTGTTTACAGCATTAGTAAACTAGAAAACTGACGTTGAACCAATTATACTGACCCAGAATAGAATCTGCACATATGGTGGTAACTCTCCATTCCACCATACATAATAGCGGCGTCACCCTGCTTTCTGATGCCTTCCTTTGCCACGTCATGGTCAACCCACTTAGGATAACCCCACATGGTATCGTCAATCTTGCCGAATTCCACAGGAGCACTTGTATAATTCTTCACGGTATCCTTGAAATTGTCATCAAAATCGCCGTCGTTCAAAAACACGTAAGGATAGTGGAACCATCGGTTGAAATGTCTCTCAATTGACTTGAGAGACTGGATGACGCCGTCCAACTCCTTATTCCTAGCGAGAACGACGAACGCAGCATTCGCACGTTTGCCCTCAACCTCTTTCTCAACCTGCAGGCATCCCGAGGCGAAGACCTTGTCATGCTTTTCACTTATTTTTCTGAAAAGAGCGGCAGAGTTGTTAGTGATTGAGAATACTAAGGGGTCTGTGCATAGGTTTGAAGATTATACTAACCTTATAGATGGAGGTGTGCCAGCTGGGATTAAAATGCCACCGGGAGAAGAAGGGTGTCGAACAAAAAGAAGTAAAACTAGGACTATTACAAGGCATGGAAATAGCAAAACAAATCCCAAGGGTATAGAAATCGATGAATTGCCCTTCAAGCGTATTCTTCTTTTGAAGAACGCGAATCTGGAAATGTTGCGGCCCTTTTCGCGCGAAACGTCATCCACAGGGAGACTCGGCGAAGAGGGCAGCCATTTTGAGATTCGCTGCGTCAACCCCATGGGCGCAAGGCTGCTCACACTGCGTCGATTCAAAAGAGATCAAGCCAAGTAGTGTTAACAGGTTCCACTGAACATGAAAGAGATTTTGCGGAAATCCGGGGAAGACTGAGTCGATGACTGCCGTATCTGAGTGAAAATCGGGGCTGCTGAAAGGGGGACGGTTCGCATGCAAGTAACAGTGAGGTCAACCCACACTTCTAATGCTAGCGAGATACGCTCCGAGTATATGATATCTTATGCAATTAATAGGTTTATTAACAAAGGAGATAAGAATATTGGCCACCGAACAAAAAAAAATATAGAATAAAAAACGAGCGGCCGGAGGAAATGCCTCCTTTCCAACTTTTCCCCTTTCAGTTGTCGGCCAGATAGAGATGGCGGGAAACGTTGACAGCAACGCAGGGGACTGATGTCCTTAGCAATGAGGCCGGGAACACGGAGCAAGTCGACGAGCTCATCAATCGCATCAGGTTGGAAGAGGAACTCGGGTGGGAGGTCGCAGACTGCGGGAGGCAATCGATGAAATGAAAGATTATTTTGGGGATGGGGATGGGTGGAAGTTTCGCCAAGACCAAGGAGGCGCAAGCGGCCATGGTCACAGACGGTAAACTTACCCACTAAATTGGAAGGTCACAACTCTTTCGTACGTTTCTAGTACGGGTTTGAATACCGTACTCGGTATGGAGCCTCCGGAGTCCGGAGAGCACCAAGCAATCACTGGTTAGTAAATTATTGCTTAGGCGCTGCCTCGCCCATCAAATTGATTACTAAAAATTACCAGCACAAGGAATAGGACGATGGCGCTTGAATCTACTATTCCAGTTTTTCTCACCCTTGGTTATCCTTGGTTATCGAAATCGGTCAGGGATCCTCTCCTAGGGGTTTTCAGACTTCAGTACGTATGGGAGAACCCGAAGCTTAACTGGCCTGCAAGACACGTACGTCTTCACTGGATTAGCCAATATTTACTCAAGCTGTTGCACGATAGTTAGATGCTTGGTATGTACCATCATTCCAAGAGGTCTAAGGACACCACTGGAAATTTTTCTATTTGTGTCTTTCCTTTCCCTTCTCTTTTAAACTTCCCTAAAGCCTTGGCTTTGTTGTTGCCATAATCCGGTAGTAAATAGTTCCAACTTACCATTACCTATTAAGCGCCCCAATGCACCAGGGGGATATTAAGAATGGAGTACTCCGTACTCCGTCAGTACTCCAGACTATAAGAAGCCTTGTTATTATTACAGGTTTACGGATTACTACAGCCATTCCCAAAGCATGGATTTGATTACAACAACGTGAAGATAACAACCAAGGGATAAACACAAATCTATATACATACAACTGAGTGAGCACCAAGAGGAGTCTCCCTGATTGCTTTGTGAGTTTGTGATGGGGAAGTCTCGTAAAATCGTCCTTTCGGCATAACCCTAGCCTTAAGATTCGACATGATCACGGTTGTCCACGCTGTCGGTCACAGAAGCTTGCCCCAGTACTACTACATGCCAGCGTTCATAACTATAGAAGTTACTGACGAGATGTGTGTGATCGCAGCAGCCGCATGTATAGAATAGCCATAGCAGCTAGACAATGAAACGAAGCAACTCGCATACAACATGACAAGCCTTGGTACAAACGATTGTGGGATATGTACGGAGCACGGAGTGTTGACCTAAAAATTTCCTATATCCGTGCTTTAGTATCGACTCTAATTGAACGGTTAGCCTAAAAGATGTATTGATGCTGTACACATGGCAGAGCGTAAGGTGTTGTAAAGGGGTACTTGTCATACCATTGTACCGTGGACCGGTAATTTATGCATCCAGAACCCTGAGGCTCCACAGGTCTCCACGTGACCCCCTTGGCAGTAAAAGGGATCTGACAATGTGGCCTTTTAGCCCGTCGATGTGCAGCAGGTAGGGTATCACAGTCAAAGATGATAATTCTTCCACCGATATGGCACGATCCATATGACTTCTCATAGACTGTCGCATCTAGACTCAAATGTCATTGATCATCTCATCCTTGCATTACATCAACTAGCAGCTATATTACGATAGCCATCGTGCAGAATCCACTTCACCTTTGCCGTGATTGGGTCAATGGAGCTCTGCTTTAAGTGTTGGTCCAGGTGCATCGGCTCTTATGTATGTACGTCCTGTGTACGGAGTAGTATGGACGCGACTACCAAGAAATTCCGTAATACCCTACTACTACCTGTAGGTACACGAAACATGCATACATATTACAGAGTGTTTGGAGCTTACCGCTCTTGACCCTTCGGAAATTCAATCGCAAAATAGGAAGTTGTGTCGGCCCGGTATGCTAGGGCTGTGTATGTTCAACCTGTCAAGGTCTTTTTCTACTAGAAATTCTGTGAGTATATCACTTATTTAATTGCTCTATGCAAGCCATGCAGGCAATATGTTACTCAGTACTCCATAAGTAGTACGACTTTGCTTTCATCCAAGTATCTATTAGTAGTAGATAGTACCAGAAGCCCTGTGACACATGACTCGTTATCTTCTGTCTCACAGATGATCATTGGTTGTCTAATATACTGTATGCGGGGACAGGACTCAGTTACCAGAGATCTTCCAAATTGAGTCACGCCATCATATTACTACGGAGTAAGAAGAACAGATATCGCCTTTTCCTTGGTCGGTTCTTCACCAATTCGCCAGTCCTCGTGAGTTTGAAGAACCCTTGGGGTTCGCATAGAGCTTAATCTTAGAGAACTCAAAGTCACCTCGGAAGTAAGCCCCTACTTATTATTTTCCAAGACCGGGGAGGACTAACTCCATCGCCAGTACAATAAAAACCCAACGTTCGTATACCAAATCTCACTGAGGGACCTGAGGATTCAGTTCCTGGACTGGCCCGATGCACGAAAAGTAGTTTTCGTTTCAGTCCGCCCCTGACAGCCTACGCGGACGAGGGGCATGTTGTTTTCAATCTCATACGATGGTAATAGTATCCAACACGAATCTGCTGCAACTCTATGCTTGCCCTTGGATTGAATGGCGTGTTGGTCTTCGCTCTAATCTACACTGCTGGAGGTCTCCCAGTGAAGATAAGATCTTGGTAGTATGCATGTCTTGACACTGGTAAGGTGAATAAACGGACTTGAGTTGTAATGGCGACTTGATGTTGGGCAACCGAGGCTAGACAATGAATTCATATTGTTTGTCAGTTAGAAGATGGGATATTGTCGATTGATCAAGTATGTCAACGGCCCCCAATCTTCTAAGAGAAACCGGTTCACCTAAGCTGCATGGTCATCAGTCCTACCATGTTCTGCACATTTCGACTCACTACTACTACTAATGATCTCTTTAATTTTGGGTCACTCTTTCCTGAAGAGGACACAAGGGGGGTATCGTATCCATGCACTGCAACCAACCATGGACCCTCAAGGTCGATGACCAATTAATATTGAGTAACTATTTACGGAGTATTTCATCCATGGATTCAAAGCGAGACCAACCCTCGTGCCGGCAAATCGGCAAAATATCGTCTGGCTATCGGTCTCTCTCACACTAGAGAAAGGGGTAAAAGGAGAATCAATCCACCGAAAGTCTAGTCCGTTGGCTCAACGTTAGACTGTTGCTTAGCTTGGTGATAGTTATGTAAGTTAACAAGCGAGTGGACTGGACTTGAATTAACTACTGTGGGCCGGTTAACTATACTTGTTCTAAGTAAAAGTGTGGGAAAAAAAAGAGAAGATTTTTCCTTCCCAACAAGGGTATGGATACTATATGGTTCAATAGATAGGAATGTCTCTTTCTTACACTCCCTGGAGGAAAACTAATTAAAAAAA